CAGCACTTCGATATGTGCCACGATTATGTGATCTGTGGCATTAAGGTTGCTCTTCGCGAAATGTGCACCTAATTTTGATTATTATAATTAATAATCTTTTGCTCATTCAACACTCACTGTGTATTCTTTCGTTTTAGATACTGCTTGTTTGGAGATACGGTCAATACCGCCAGCCGGATGGAGTCTACTAGTATCGCAGACCGAATACAGGCATCAGAAAACACGATCAATCTGTTAAAAAATTATCCTCAGTTTGTTTACGAAGAACGAGGTGAAACCGAAGTAAAGGTATGGTTATCTATAAATTTAGTAACTTGTAATCATGTTCAGACTCGAGATACAGTATGCTATGCTGTAACTACAAATCAATAACTGTTGCTACGCGAAAAATCCTACCGCGTTCGCTGATGAAGTAAAGGCAACTGATGCTCTGATTCACAGTAGTACTGCCGCGTGGCACGAGTTCAGAAATGATTCTGGCTTGTCATCAAGCAGACAAGTTCTAGTCCGGATTTCAAGATGTGACTATGTTATGCCTTATACCGTAATCCAGCCGTGAATCCGTGATGTAGCTCTGGAACGTCTTTGCCATGACTTTCAGAAAGATCGCGCTTTGAAAAACTGGCTTCCATGCTCATCACACGTTTAGTTATGCATAAGAAGGTCAAAGGTAAGATGGCAATCAATAGGACTATTATGTAAACCTCGCAACACGTAGACGTAACTGAGGAATGATGGTTTAGCCACGACAGCAAGATGTAAAGTAAACGTAGACAAAACTGTTGATTGATTGATTGCTGTTGATTGTACAGTCTCAGGGTGTTGAACCGTTATTAAATTTAGGGAAAAGGTCGCATGAAGACGTATTGGATTTTGGGTGTTAAAGAAATGCAACCTGATGCAAAAGCCTGAAAACTGTCATAAAACTAAAGAAGTAAGCAACACTACGAATCCGCTACAATCCCAGATTTGTAGCTGCAAAACAGCGTAGCTACCGACAAAAACAGACCTTCTTCGCCGCTGCGATCCGTTGCATTTGGACTTGATTAGCAATGATGAACTCTATGTTTCACAACCTTGCGAAAGATGCTGCCAACAGAACGGAGTATGCGCAATTTGATTGTGCAACTGTGCAGTGAACCAAACGTTTCCAGTCTGAAAAGAATCTCATGATCAAACATATTCGACTGTGCTGTGTTTCTATGCCAGCCGTTGTTAATGTTTAGAACCATGCTTTCCAAGCAATGACAAGTGAAATTCAAAGACATCAAATATGTTCTTCAATGTTTTCGAAATAAACTTTACGCCATTCTACTTTCTACTAATATGCCCTACTAGCTATTTTGCTCACTGGCATACTCTGTACTCATAAAAGCCTTCATATGGAATTCTGTTTTAACGTTTTCAACCTGTATTGATTTGCCAATTATTATATTTTCCAGCAGCAAGAAGTAAGCCAACAGAAAGCAATGAAACGGTGAATCATAATAGCTCTACAAAGCCAGCGAACATTCAGAATTAATGTTTTATAAGACCGTTAATCACTCACTCCATTGCTTAAACCAGAGATTGGCCATGAATATCCGTTTATTGAAAAAGTGCAAACATTTTAGCCTTTGATAGATTATCTCAAGTGAATATAAGGGGTCACACAAAAAATGTTGATCCCGAATTGAATATCAAAAGTGTTCAGACAGCCGTATAAAACGGCCAATATTTCAATAATACTAAAAAAGCTTAGTCGCCGGTGAAACATACAAGATCAGGTCTTTCAAAGTCAAAAGACTCAATTTAGAAAAAAGAGTCACTCACTATTTTAGTCCACGGCAAATTAGACCTCAAGTAAAATTGAATGAACCTTAAAATCGAATTCATGCAAAACGGAACATATAATTCTATATGCAGCATGTATGGTGGTTATATCAATCCTAACATACCACCACTAAAACCAAACTTTTTGATCATAAACACCCTGA